GCGGGTGCGGTGCGGGTGCGGGCATGGGTGCGAGTGTGGGTGCGGGTGCGGGTGCCGCTGGGGGTGTAGATGCGGGTGCGGTGCGGGTGCGGCCCTTGCCCTGCCGGCCGTGTCAGCAGCCCGCTCTCCTTCACCAGAGCCAGGCCTCCACCATGAAGCTAAGAAATAGAAAAGAATGAACTCAGATGGGCAATGCGCCCTGTTGGCCTAAATATTACTATTTGGAAAAAAAGAGAGATCCTCTACCTTTCAGGACCTTCAAAGGGATGGTTTATTCAAGGGGGGTTTTAAAATCTTTTTTTCAGGCAACCACTGAGGAAATTGAGCCGAACAGCCAAGATGGGAATGGTGGTGAAAAGCCAGAAAAAGGCAGTACAGAACTCGCCTCCTCAGGTTTGTTTCCTAACAGACTAGTTTAAGGTACATCATGATGGCTCTTAAGATAGACTGGAAATAGTCAAGAATTTCTCCTAAATGAGCTCCGGAAAGGCAAGGAGATGCTGAAAGCGGTAGGGCTGTGCTGCCACTTAGCGGCTTCTTGGGGAAATTCGGACTGTGATTTATCTGGCTCTAAAAACCTTGCTTTGTTTTGTTTTCTTGAAAGTGTATTTCCATCCTCATAAATAAGATTATATTGCCCCAAAGAAATAATAAAAAACTGAGGGTCATATTTTAACACACAGTAACAGCAATAGATAAGACACAGCTAAAGAAATGTATCCTAAAAATAGACGCTGAAATAATAAAGCTGGCTAAGAGTTTGAAAAAATAAAGTAATGCCATGAATAGGGACAGTGAGCATGAATTAATGTGTTTCAGTATTTGTAACACATTTCTTATTTTGATAAACATAAAAGCCTCTCACCTTCTTCTAATTCCAAATTATTTTTAAATGGCATATTACAATAAATTAAATATCATCCCTAAAAATTTCAAACTAGATCAGACCCCCTCACTTTGACAGGCCCCCTCAGGGGGTGGCTTTTCCACCCACTGCGGAGTGTACCTAAGTCTTCTTGGCATATCAAAGAATACTTTGTTTTCATCGCATTGTGTATGCCATGCAGTCCTCAATACATTCTGGTTATGAAAATGTGATGATAAAAAGGGAAATGATGATTGAAATGCAAAAGGGAGATGTTCACCCACCCGACCACCTGTCATAATATTTCATGTCAGCGTTTTGTCCCATGTAGTATTACTCCTATGTAAACTCTGGCTCTTATTAAGAACTTGAGTTTTTCAGAGTGGGATTCTTTGATGTGCTTTATGTTGCTTGATTTTTTTATAATAGCGTGGAAGAGCCTAGAGTATTCTGGCACCTTTGGCTCTTTCATACATCTCATCCCACGGTAATTCAGTTTTCTCTTTGTGTTTCCTAATGTAACTCCATCTCAGAGCCTCAGCATTTCACAACAACTGTGACTCGATCCAGCCCAACTGTGGCCTTGGTGGAGTTTTCCTCTGGCCCCACGCTGAAGAGCGACGCACCAGAAGAAAAAGACCAGAAGAAACCGGAAAATGAAATGAGTGGAAAGGTGGAGTTGGTGCTGTCCCAAAAGGTGAGTTACATAGTGAATAAAGCAGTTAGATTTCCATTAGTGTGGCTTCATAGGGCAGCTGGCTGCTGCTGTGATACTTGTTCATAATGGAGACTTATTTTCTCTTCTCATCTTTTTTCTATCTTTAATCTGTATTTTTTTCTAAATACAAATATACTACATGTGCATTGTAAATAATTTAAGTACATATAGAAAAATAGATGTATTAGCCCACTTGGGCTGCTATAACAGAATACCATAGACTGGGTGGCTTGTAAATGACAGAAGTTTATTTCTCACAGTTGTGGAACCTGGAAGATTTGATGTCTGGTGAGAACCCACATCCAAGTTCACAGATGGACATCTTCTCACTATGTCCTCACTTGACAGAAGAGGCGAGGGAGCTCTCTGGGGTCTCATTTATAAGGGCACTAATCCCATTCCTGAGGGTTATGCTCTCATGGCCTAATCACCTACCAAAGCCCCACACACACACTTATAATACCATTGCCTTGGAGGTTAGAATTTCAGCATATGAATTTGGGAGGCGCAAACATGCAGTCTGTAGCTATATATTTTTTAATTTATATTCATAGTGATGTACACAAATATGTAACATATCAAGTAAGATACATACATTTATTTTAAATGAAATATAAACAAACATAGACATAGAGCAAGAGTGAGAAAAGGTCACTGAAACCTACCTCTCTACTAGTAATTGGCATATATATATATATGTATTCTTTCCACATCTCTTAAGTTATATTTTAAACAGTTTTTCATTTTGCATAATTAGATGTATTTTTTAACGTGAGAGTCACACGAATCAGAAAGCTTTGCAGTTAGGTTTTGGCTTGTGTATGAGTTTGTTTATTGTGAGCTTGCTAAAGATTCTCCTTCCCATGTTCAGCTGTTTTACAGCAGTGTGCTTCTGATGCCTCTGGATTTGAATAGGAAACTGGGGACTTCTTATTCTGATATAATGGGTTTTAACATCTTGTTTTTATTAAATTTCTTCCTTATTTGTATTCTCATCCTATTCATAGTAATTTGGTTTATTTTCAGGCACAGAGTCTAAAAGTCTTCATCTTTTATACCAATTGTTCTCAACCTTGGCTACCCTTTAGAATTTAAAAATAGAACAAGCACACACCAGCTCAGATAAATCAGAATTTCTGGGGGCAGAGCCAAGGCATCTGTATTTTTAAAAGCTCCTCAGGTGATCCTGATGGGCCAACAAGATAGAGAACCACTGACCTGCCTATGGGCATACTACCTGTGGTGATATTTCAACTTTAAAAATTAACCCTAAGTTAGGATTTGACTTTAGAGTGAAAATTTTACCACTTATACATCTGCTGATCTTCCATCATTTAGTCAACCAATATTGACTGTGCACCTACTATGTACCAGGCACTGTATTAGACACTGAATATTCAACAGTGAACAAGACACAGCCCTTGGCCTTTGGGAGCTGAGAGTGCTGAGTCCTTGGTAGAGTCTCAGAAATGCCTATTGCCTTGATGCCTTTTGAAAATTTTAGACTCTGGCTATTCCCATTTTTATACATGGAGAATTAAAGAATGGTCTGGAGGTCTGAAAAGAGAAACTAAACTGTAGGAAAGGCATTGAGGGCAGGCAAGATTTCCTATCTTTGCAGGTTTGGCCTTATCTATGTTACACTTCATTATTTATTATTCTTCCAAATTGATTTTTTGTTCCATTCCAATCTGAACTGAAAGGAAAACTCTGTTCATAACTAGAATTTTTTTAATCAAACAGAATGAGTACCATAACTAAAGAGTGTTCATCTGCATACCTCCCCTGTGAACCTCATCTGTGACCCTTCTTTGGACAACCAGTGTCGCGTGTACCGTATGGGAAAAATTGTTTGCAGGGGTTCTTCGTGTGTGTGTGTGTGTGTGTGTGTGTGTGTGTGTGTGTGCGCGCGTGCGCGCGCGCACATGTGTGTGCACGCACACAAGGGCCTTGGGCCCTTTGTCCACCTGGTATTCTCAGAATAATATTTTTTAAAGCATAAAATATATAAGAAGACCAAGTTTCTTTTATATCAAGTGGTTCCAAATGCATACAGCCCCTGAATTCTGTTCTGTGGACTCCAGGTTAAAAATTTCTACTAGTTCGTTAGCAACTGGCATAATGGTCTTTGAACCCCCTGCTTTTCTTACCCCATGTGAATTTCTCCCTTTCTCCTTTCCCTACTATACAGTTAGTTCTTAGGAAAAGGGAGAGAGGTGATCACAGAGGTTGCAACAGCATTTATTTTCCGACTTCACTTGAGAGTGTTGCAGAGTGCCCAGGCACACAAACCGACGTTTTTATGTGGTGGTCATTTTGAGCATTTCTGCTGACTCTGAACTCTTCCATTTACAACTGGGCATTATCTGACACACGTTTTTGTCTAACTCCAGCATGGAGTAAATGGCATGAGGTCAGGATGCGAGGGCTGTCAACTCGTTGCATGTTTGATTAACACAAGTTCATTTGGATATCTGGCTGACCTCTGCAATGCAGAAGGCAGTGATTAACTGTATTTTCTTCAGGATTCTATTAGGGTTGGATATATTTATAAGGAAAAGTGGAATCCTACCAAGAAGAAATTCTAGTCATGAAATCATCCTTAAGACCAAATCATAGATCCGCTTATGATGAACCCAGTGCTCTCTCTATAGGCTCACTCGCCTTACTGGCTATCAAATTAATCTGTTGGGAAGACAGCCTCCAGCCAGAGTGAATCGGAGGAAGTCTGTAAGCAGCTGAAAGACATGAGCTGGTACAGCCCTGCTCATTCAGATCTTTGCTCAGTCTTCTGATTTTGATTTTAGATGTTAGTTTGGTAATCTGGTGTCTCAGCAGTCAGCTGATGAGAAACAACAAATCCAAAAGGCCATTCAGATTGGGGAGAAACAAAATAAAATTAAATAGCAATAACAAGAAGATTCTATTTTTACAAAGCAAACATAAGCCTTTGTAAAGCCTGTAATCTGGGGACTATTTGCCATAGGACAAGTAATCTGACATGCCTCAGACACCCCCTAAGGGCATCATTGCTGTGGCGCTGTTTGATAATGGCTGTTTATGATAATGCTCCTGTGTCACCAGGCAAAGTATATTATCTTTAATGTGCTTTGCATAAACTTGATGGGTTGTGTAGTGTCTCGAGAATAATGTCCTTTAGGAGGTAATATTACTTTAGTATTTAGCACTTAAATAGTAAGATTTTTTAAAAATCTTATAAGGAACATCTTACATCCTGACATTATAAACTTAGTATGATGTTGTGCCAGGAAGAGAATATGTGATTGACCAATAAGAAAATGAGACAGAGTGATGTATAATCCCAAAAATGGAATACTGTCTTCTGAGTTGGGGGGAAAAAAAGGTCATCAAATATTTATACTTGCATTTGATTTCTCTGAAAAATTTGCATCTACATTAAAGTAGAAAAGCACGAAGGGAGATGAGAAAATGGGGCAAATTTTCCACTTAAAAGTTGAATGTTTGGGCAAACTGACTTATGTAATAGCCATGGGTTCTTCCACTTCATTTCACCTGTGTATTTATTAATACTTGCCGTGTTTGTGTCTGTTGCTTCTGATCCAGGTGGCAAAGCCAAAGTCTCCGGAGCCAGAAGCAACCCTGACTTTTCCATTTCTGGACAAAATGCCTGAAACCAACCAGTTACATTTGCCAAATCTCAATTCTCAAGGTAAAGAGAAGGAAATGCTTTATTCTAGTTCTACGTATTCTCCTGGGCTCATCTGTAGTAACATATTCTTTAAGTTGGAGGAAGATTACTTCCTTTATGTGGCTGTCCCTTTGGCCATGGTGTTTGTCAGAGTTCATGGTGGCTGAATTAATGACTTCAAAATAGAGTTCTCGGGCTGCATTCTCTCTTTGGCCCAGCCAAGAATCCCAGCTGCCAAGACCATTTTGGCATCCCGGCGTTATAGTCACGATAAGGCCTACACAACTGTTTTATACCGTAAAATAATTGAATTGTCTCCAAAATGTAAAAGAAAAAAAATCAATAACAAAAAGTTTATAATATCAATATTATATCAACTTCATTAATTGTTTATTATGTAGTCTTTATAAAATATCCACTTGACAATGATTTCAGTAGAAAGTCAGACTTTCTTCATAATAATTACTGATATGCACTGAGAAATCATTCACAATCATGAGTTAAATAAATTATTCATAACCAAGCACTTTAATCTTTCCAAAAATTGTTATAGCAAGAGTAGATGTGTGTATACATATATACATATAGATATATACATGTATATGCTGAGGATATATTTTAATATGTTTCTTATGTTTGATATATTGTGTGGAGGGGTGGCCTCTAAAAATATAGGAGTTTAGGGTCTATGGAGTTTGTAAAATGGCACCAACCACTGCAAATGCCCAGGTATCTTTTAGGCCATGTATAGGTTGTGAATTCACCCCTCTACTCTTTAGAGCCCAACTTGAATCCCTTTGTCCTGGTGGGCAAACCAGGTGTCCACAGCCACCCCAAAAAGGAGCCTTAGGGATACGAATAGTGGGAGGATGGGTCCGGAGAAGTCCGTGAGCTGTAGGAACTATTCTTCAGAACAGACCGCTGGGCTTTAGTGGTGTGAGTTCTCTCTCTAGATACGAAAACAGCTAGAGCTCAGGAGGCAAGAACTGAAAGGTTTTTCATTTGTCTTTTTCTTTTCTTTTTTCTTTTTTGGGGGGCTAAAAGTGTTCCTTTTTATTATTATTCTTTAAATTTATCTTTATTACTGAAAGTATTACAGATGTCCTCCTTTTCCCCCCACTGACCCCCTCCACCCTGCATCCACCCACCCCCAGGCCTTCCCCACACTATTGTCTGTGTCCGTGGGTTAAGCATTTATACATATAAGTTCTTAGGTTATCTCTCCCCACCCACTCTCAGTACATTTTATAGATTGAGCAGTCCAGGCAGAGAGAGGCTGGTACAGGTACATTGTGGCTGGGGATTTATTTTTACATTTTTTTACAAGGATGGTTGGCTTTTGGGGGCAGAATCTGAGCGGGCTTCCATTAACCTTTGCCGGCTGGGAGATAAGTTGGGCTCTCTCTCCACGTGACCAGAAGTACTTGGGAGAGAATTCATTGGTACATGCTCTGATGATCACTAGTTTCTTAAAGTGGAAACAGGCTCAATGCTGTCTTCAAAACACTTGTTTAAAATTTTTCAGTCCTACTGAAGGGAATTGACAAAAATAGTCTTGTAACTAGGCCAGCAATTGGCCCTATTTAGACATTTAAATTCTGCCCTATTTCTAGCACTTTGTAATTGTGTAGATAAAGAATAGAGAGAGGAAACGGATATTTTAAGCTGTATTAGTTAGTTTTGTTGTCTTATATAATTTTACATTCCATTATCTGTTGTAAGGTATTTTGATTGTAAAATGTGCTGTTGAATAAGGGACTTTACTTCATGTTATATCTAAATTGAGTGAAAAAATACAACTGAATAGCACTGGAGCCTTTCAAAAATTATTCTTCAGGAGACAAGTATGTTTGGCATACACCTGTTCCATCCTCTGTCTGGTTCGTGGAAGCTGTAATTACAGCTGCAGGCTCTGGAGACAGAGCACCTGGGTTCGAATTCTTACTCATCGCTGTGTGGCCTTACCCACCGAGTTCTCCCTAATCTCTAATCGTCACCCATAACCTGGAAATAATAATAGTACAATCTCCTAGGGGTAATGGAAGAATTAAATGAGGTAAACAAAAAAAAGTGTTTAGCTCAACACCTGGCTCAGAATAAGCACTGATAATACAATCTGGTAGTTATAGAATAGTACCAATAAAAGTATAGAGCAGGATGCCAGGCAGAAGTAAACTGTTTTTTTTAAATATGTTTTTATTGATTTCAGGGAGAGGAAGGGAGAGGGAGAGGGGGAGAGCAACATCAATGATGAGAGAGAATCATTGATCACCTGCCTCCTACACACCCCCTACTGCGGATAGAGCCCAAAATCCAGGCACGTGCCCTGACTGGGAATCAAACTGTGACCTTCTGGTTCATGGGTCGATGCTCAACCACTGACCCATGCTGGACTGGCAGAAGTAAACTATTCTTAAATGCTTTCTTTAAAATAAAAGTGTTTGTATTGCGGAGATAAAGCTTCAAGCAGTAATTTTCAAACACAAGTACATGCCAGGGACCTGGGTAAGATGGGTTAAAACACAGATCGCTGCCCTCCTTTCCCTTTGTCTCACTGAGTAGATCTGGGGCCACAGTATTTGAATTTCTAACATGATGCTGCAGATCCAGGGACCACACTCTGAAAACCAGTGACTTGAAATGTGTTCAAATTGTCCTCTAAAGACATCACCAATAGATACAAAAATAACAGTACTTGTTTGGAGTGTATAAATTCCCATCTTTAAAGAAGCAAAAGGCCTCTAATAAATGTAACCTTAAAAGATCTGATTTGTCTTTAAATGGAAGGACAGGGAAAGTATAGGACTTGGCCCAGATATAAAAAGTCACCCATAAGTGACTAGTCTGAAGTTGCACATCATGTCCGAAGGAGCTAGAGGGTTAGGATGGGGAGTCCTGGAGCCATACCTAATGGACCCTCTCCCAGTCAGTCTATCTCCCCCATTCCCATCAGGCTATCTGTAAACTGACCTTACAGGCCACTGAAGATCTGCTGGTGGGTCCTGGTGGTGTTCCACAGACTTCCCTTAAACATACACCATGTATAAATAGTCTTTAAATACTCTGAAAACCTTCATAAAATACATTTAAAGATGACAAATTTCCTTTTCTCAACTGCCTCCCAACAGTAGAAAGACATCTCAGATTGGTGTTTCAGGAAAATAGGTGCACGTTTTTAAAACTGTCTGTATTTGCATTGAGAATGATGACAGATGGCGCAGCACTAGTTTCAGGATGCAAATGAGTTTCTGTGTCTGCGTGAAGCCGCCACATGACACGCAGACATACCCATGCTCTTGTTACACACATATATAACTCCTGCCACCGACTTCCATACAGAACCTTTATGAAGTGTATACAATAATAATTGAGCTCATCTCTTCTGCCTTTTATGTTTTTCTAGTGTTCTCCAAAAGCAATATATACTGTGCATTTTGCTTCCATAGCATATCATCTTATTATTTTAAGACTCGACATCTTAACATTATCACCATTAAGTATGAGCCTGTTAAATTTCACCTAACACCAAAAAAGACAGACAATAGCATGACTGTCTCATTTTTGTTGACTTTTGTCCATGTCTTCAGGTGGGGTCTGAGTTTTATTGAGGTAGATTATAGTTTAGATTCTTTCACTCTCAGTTCTTGGATAGCCACACCTGGACTTGGGACTTGGGAACATGGTTCTGCGCACCTCTCACCCCCGTTCTCATGATTTTCTGTTTGTTCCATTCTGCCATCTGATCTAGAGTCGCCTGGCACTGCCAGCGTTCCGCTTAGAGTTCAGAACTCTTGGCGACGTTCCCAGTTTTTCTCCCAGTCAGGTAACTGCATACTGGCTAGCTGTATTTCTTTTGTGCAAAAATCCATGTTGCGGGCAACCAATAATATCTGGTATTTTTCTTTATTTCTGACTTCAGGGGGGGAAAAAATGCTTGTTTCTTGCACACAGTTAGCAAAGAGCTAGTTCTTTTATATCAGTACCAGTTATACTAAAATTGGGGGGGATTCAGAGAATTTTACTTTGCATTTGAAAATCCAAAGAAATAATAATATTCATCTCTTTATTGTCCTCCTCTTTTTTAAAATACAAAGATTAGAAGCATTTACCAGGAACATGGTTCTCTTGTTAACTGTGTCACTCTCTTTACTTCCTGGGTGACATCCGGCCTCTCTCTATGTGATGCTTCTCCGTGTCAGAGAGGGAGGGAACTGTCAATCAAGCCAGAATGCGAGGTGCATTAAAAACCAGCACTCGTAGGAATAGATTTTGCTTCCTATAGTCTAGTACTTGGTGCTAATTGCTGTGGTCAGCCATATTTCACTGGTCCTGACTACTTTTGGTGATGGGTACCAACTGCTTCAGGGGTCTGCTTTGTTCTGATCTTCTAATGCTCTTGGCTTACAAAAAAAAATATGGTTTCAAGCTGACATAGGAGCCACACTCCACTGAGAGGACCAAAGAAATACAGCAAGAAGCTACTCACACTGTGATCTTTTTCCCTTTCTTTCTGTGCAGTGGATTCTCCAAGCAGTGAAAAGTCACCTGCAGCCACACCCGTAAGTAACTCATTTTAAGGACTAAGATCATGCATTTAGTGCAGTTTTAATTATAGGGTATTTGAATCACTTAAAGAAGATTCGATCAAAAATGGGCTTCAGACAATTGATTGTAAGAGAATAAGTGAAAGTCCTGTATATGCTGCCAGGTGAGTTATAGAGATAATGTGGGTTATCATTATGCGGAGTCGTGATCTGGAAACAAAAGGGTAAGTGAGTCAGAAAAGTAAAACCTAAAAGAAGCAATTAAAATGCATGTGACAATAGGAATTAGTATTAAAATATGCAACTTCTGTAAGCATTCAAAATCATTTTTTTAATGTTTTCATTGATTTTAGAGAGAGAGGAAGGGAGAGAGATAAAGAGATAGAAACATCGATGAGAGAGAAACATTGATCAGCTGCCTCCTGCGCACCCCCTACTGGGGTTCGAGCCCGCAATCCGGGCATGTGCCCTGACTGGGAATTGAACCGGGGACTTCTTGGTTCATGGGTTGATATCCAACTATTGAGCCACACCGGATGGGCCAAAATCCCAAAATCTTTTTTTTTAAATGAGGACATACTTCAACCTAGTGTATGTTGGCAACAGGGCCCAGCCTGGACTCTTTCTGGGAGACCCAAGCTGTCTTTGTTGCACCCCTTGTCACAATCAGTATCTGGAGTAACAGTAACCACACATTTAGTTTTCAATTTTTTATTTCAATGAAATAAAAAAAGCATTTAGTAATTAAAATGTCAAGACATGTGACTCTGTCAAATTCCATGCTTCTCAATTTTATCTGAACACTCTCTATAGACCTGACCCTTCTCTAAACTGGGTGTTTTCAATGCTGAGCCTGCCATGCTTGTTGACCCTCTGAAATTCCCACCAGATTTGTAGAATCCCTCTGTGGCACAGTCAACTACCACAGAGCCCCTTGGGTGCAGCCACAGAATCACTGTTGTAGCTTTGATTGCATATTTACTAACAATAGGACCCTGAAGGTGTTACATAACTTCTATGAACCGTGTCCTCCTTGACTGTACATGAGATGATAGACCTTCCTTTCAGGGCGTTGTGAGCCTCAATTGAAATAATTATTCAGAAGCCCCTAGCACAGTACCCAGTGCGTGAACCAGTCCTCCCCAGTGGCTAATCCAGGAGGCCCACCATCACCAATACCAGTTCTTACCTATAATTAAATTGTCTCACTTTGGAAATTTCTAAGGGCCTGTGCAGAATGGAGAAGAGACACATACGCCACATAATCCTCACTCTTTCCAGGCACATTCCAGAACTAGCAACTATTTGTGGAGGCTCCGTGTCAGCCAACACTGGGAACCTTGAGTTCCCTGGGAAGCCGAGTACACCCACAGGGGATGGGAGCCCCCAGAAGGACCCCATAGCTGGCATTCATGACACAGATCTGAAGAGGACAGCCTAACCCGTCCCATTGTTCCTGTACTGCCTGGGCGGGAGTGGAGAGGAAGGGCGCCCTAAAAAGATACATTCTTATTTCTGTTTGTGGAAAACAGAACAAGGAAGAGACAAATTGCTGGCCTATATAAATGACTTCTCTGAAAATACCCACCCAAAGTTGAAATTCTCGTGATGATAAATAGCTCTTCATAGAATAGAAAAGTAAAGGAGATTTTTTTAAAAGAGCTTAGAGAGGAAGTAAGCGTTGACTGTGTGGCCCTCGGTAGACGCAGGCCATTGTCGGTCAGCCTCGGAGCGGCCTTAAGCTCTAGGGTCAGGGCCTAGGAAGGAGAGGAAAGAGGGAGATACATTAGCCAGCACAAAGCCCATTCATTTCTTCAGCAAACATCTATTGCAGGCCCAAAAATGCCAGGTCTTGGGATACTCAGGGGAATAAAGGGCCCTCCTTGCCCTTGAGGAAGCCCTAAGCGAAAGGAAGACACAGGTCTGTACAAAGGTAAATTATAGAACAAAGCCTATTCCAGCTTTCTCTAGTACCTTTTATATCTCTTTTATGATAGTTTCCCCACTGTCTTCTTGTGATCATTTATATATTTGGTCACTCTCCACCCCCGACACACACACACACACACACACACACACACACACACAATTCCACCCCACCCCACCCCATTAGTTGTAAGCTCCACAGCTTTGCGACTCTTGGCCAGCTGATATCCCCACCTGGCCCATATTAGCTGCTCAGCAAATAATTGCCAAGGAACATGATCACTGTTTTTTCCTTCTCGTTTATTACATTGATATCTTCCTTTGAAAATGCTCATTTTTTTCTCTCTTGTTTTTTTAACAAATACTCTGTATGTTCTTCCAAGCTCAGTCCCCCTACCCCACACCTCCTTGCTTGACTTGTTCTTGTGATCACTGCCTCGAGACATCTAAAAATTAAGTGATTCCTAATTGTTTCTCTTATTTTCCTACTAGTAAGCTTTTTCTCATTGGACTCCTCATGGCTTTGTTCACATAACCACACCCCTTTTTCCTCAAAACACAGAGCCATGTTCCTGAGGTTTGAGACTGCTTGAGAGTCTTTGGAAAATGCTGGGTGGAGCCAACATCCAACATTATTAATCCAATAGAATTTCCCATCTGGGATTCACATTTGGATGATATTTTGTGGTCATGCAAGGAAATTTGGGAAACTTTGGATTATATCCAATCAATAGTTTTGCCCTGCGTAACTTATCAGAGCCTTTAGTATGCTGGTGTGCAGTGTGAATCCCCAGTGTGGCATATAGGAAGTACACATCTCTACCTCATCTGCCCTCCTTTCTTTGATTTTTTGTGGCCATCCCAACCATTTGCAGGAACCACAGCAAGAGTACCAATCGAGGCCCACATTTCATGTGTCTAAATATATTAAAGTTATAAATATTTATAAGGTCATAAATCAAGCAACACCCATGGCTTCACCTGCATTCTCAGCCTGTAAACACTGCACCTGGGTGGTCATGCTGGTCTGTGGGGGGTGGGGCAGGGCAGAAGGTGGGATCACCCAGTCATCTTGGGTGGTAACAAGACCCATTTAACTTTGGACAGGACTGACTCTATCCAGCTACGCAAGCAGCCGGGGGAGGTGGATTCTGCCTGCTCCCCAGCACACTCCAGACTCTCCCCTTTCTCCTTAACTCCCCAGCCCTCACCTCACTTTTTCTTTCAAGATTCCCAAGCAGTTCTAAGTGTCTCCAAAAACGCCCCCATCAGGGGGAAGGGAGGAAGTACAGCTGCTGGGGAACCTGGTTTGCCTTGGCACCTACTCTAGGTGATAGGGAGGCCACTTTAAACATAGCAACCCCTCTTTTGCTCGTTTCCCAGGAACCAGCTGTGATTTCTCTCTGCCTCCACCCCCAGGCCCTCTCAATCTTATACCCTGTGGCCTGGGTGCCCACTTTGACTCATGCATTTTTCTCCTATTATTTCTGTTCACTGACTCACAAAAACCTCTCTTAAAAGACAAAAAAACAAAAAAAGCCTTTGAGTTTGAATGTTTGTTATGTGGGTCCCAGACAGGGACTTCTTATTGCCTGGATCTCAGTGGTGAGCGAAACAGCCCACGGGTGGGAAAGCAGGAGCAATGGAAAAGGTGACTTGGTTCTCCAGCGTGGCGAACGCCACTTCTTACAACTGCAGTTCTGCTGAAATAAGCATCCCATTTGCCTGGACCCAGGATCAATATGCAGGATGAGCCTCTTATGCTCCGGAGCGTGAATACATTTAAGAAACCACTTCTCCAAGAAATGAAGCAAAAGCCTGCCCGTGCCAGGGGCTAATTACTGCATGTTTTCATTAGCTCCAGAAAGGTTCGCAGAATCCTATCAGCCTCTTGGAAATGAACCAAAGAGGGACTGAGATTAAGAAGCGGTTGCTGCCAGCAAAGAGGACCTTTAGATAGAGGAAGGCCCTGCTCCTGCATGCCCACCCGGTGCCAGCCCGCAGGCCAGCTGTGTGCCTTGCCCTGGCCAGGCCTCGAGGACACGGCTCAATTCTGACCATGTTTTTATTTTCTGAGCAGTTCAAGTTCCGGGCATGGGACCCAGAAGAGGAGCGCAGGCGACAGGAAAAATGGCAACAGGAGCAGGAACGTCTGCTCCAGGTAAGATGTCTAGGTTTGCTGCCTTTTTTTCTTTTTCNATTTCTGTTGTATTAAATAGATTTTTAACACAGGAAATGCACGGAATTGAATTCTTCTCAGAAGTCATGAGTCTGTTAGTTTATTTTGTGTCTATGAGACATAATGCCCTATGTCTAATTTCTCCTACCAGAGATTACACTGANTTAACACAGGAAACGCACGGAATCGAATTCTTCTCAGAAGTCATGAGTCTGTTAGTTTATTTTGTGTCCATGAGACATAATGCCCTATGTCTAATTTCTCCTACCAGAGATTACACTGATGAACACAAGGAAAAAGCATTTCAGTTAAAAAAAATTTTTAAACCTCCCCATATTGATTAAGGGCCAACTCAGGCAGTCACCACCTCTTTCTTTGCCATCAAATTCCAGTCCCAGTAGCAGTACAATTGTATTGTCAAAAGCTTTTTGAAAGCATGCATGTGAAATAAAATTTGGCTTGGCTCTTGTTTCTTAGGTAGAAATGTTTGCTCCAGTTCTAGAAAAATTCTGGGAGTAAATGTGTCATGTTCCTACTTGATTCATGCCACGTTTGTGGAGTAATAGGGCTTCAAAAAGTAACCTGGTGATCTCAGAAAGTAACCTATGATGAGTACTTGGGATGTGCCAGGAACTATGGTTGGTGTTTGACATATTTTATCTAATTTAATTCTCATTAAACTTTTCCAAGTATGTCTTATTAGCCTCAGTTTGCAATTGAAGAAACTAAGCCTCAAAGAAGTTAAATTAATTGCCCAAGGTCACACAGCTAAAAAGGGTTGAACTTGGTTTCAAATCGAAGTCTGGATGACTTTAAAACTCATCCCCCAATACACCCCCAATAGTACTGATTTTACCAAAAGATAATAAATAAAAAGAATTTTAAATCTCATTGATTTTGGTGGCTTTCTGCTGCTGTGTAGAAAGCAATGCTTAATGCAAGTTTATTTAACTTTAAAAAAAAATATTTTCGCTCTAATCCTTTTCGTTCCCAGGGGCGGGAAGCAAGGATCTGTTTAGAGAACTAACCATTTGTAGTGTGGCTTTAGGTCTACCAGTTAAATTTGACACTCTTCAACATTGCATAGAGATAAATCTTCAATATAAAAATGTTAGTAAGAACTGGATTCGGCAAAGTCCCAGAGCCCTTGAGCTGATTTCCGAGAGTTCAGCGCCTGCCTTCTGCTGTTCTCTGGAAATCACAGGCCCATCTTCCAGCTGAGTGGCGAAGAGCGGAGAGTCAGAAATTCCACAGAGTAGAGACGACAGGCAGGTGTGCTTGCCATGTGGCACTCTGTCTGCTGCACTCTGAAAGGTGACCACGGTTACAGATGCAGGCGTGTGTCTTGTTCCTGGCCCCCCGAACTGTCACCTAGAGTGGTGCACGGTGGGCGTGGGCTTTGGGGAAAGGTGTTTGTGGGGAAGGAGAGAGGGGGTGCACACGTACATCTTTCACTCCCCGCATTGCCATCATCAGTGCATCCTCTTGGGGAGGGGAGCACGTGATGTGAGCATCTAGAGCCAATAAACCTAAAATGCTTTGCTTGTGTTTCAGCTTCTGTGAAGTTTTGAGGTCTCTTTTCTCTCTTTGAAAAGCCCCTGACATCCCTCTCTAAAACTTCACAATATTAGGTTTTGATAACAAAATGTTACCTGGAATGAAAAGCCTGCCGTGGGTTGACCAACCATGGTTTTCCCAGAGCATTCACAAGAACACCAGGCTCTAGACAATCCCAATACAGCCCTTTCACTCCTAAGATAATCACTCGACAGGTAAGAGCTGAAGGAGATCCCAGTGCCTCCCCAGGAAGATAAAAGCCTCAGACTTATTTTAGCTTCAGAGAGGACTGACATTAATCAGCCTAAAGTATTTGATGGTATGTTGAACACTTGGGTGATTCCTTTGCCTCTGTCATGTCAGGATGCCATTCCCGAGGCATCCAGGGGCGTCAGCTCTCATGTCAGGCGTTAATTTTAATCTCCATTTATTCATTTCTTCTAGGCAGCTGTCAGGAACTCCGATCACATTTTTAACGCTGTTCTTTTCAGAATATTTTACTCTTTACCCCAAGAAGTGGTGACTGGTGTTGTATTATTTCTGGAAACAAGAATGGCAGCTCTGATACTGAAGCCTTCTGATGGGCTGTTTCAGAGCTACTCTTAGTTCAGAAGTTACTTAAAGCAAGGGAGACTGCGTTTGGGCAGATAGCTGCAAGCAGAGGGTAATTCAGCTACTCAACTAATTATCATCGTGCCCGCTGTGGACCTTTCTGCAAGGTTTTGGGTTTTTTACCGTTTATTAAACTCTCCCTGCAGCAAACATATTTCTATTAGAGGAATGGCAAAACTCATCTCTAAAAGGCCCAGTAAAAAGCAAGCTTTTGGTTTAGCCAGCCTCCTAGGACAAAACCCAATGAAGGAAGATTTTAGAATCTTTCAATCTTTTCATCTTCTCTCTTCCCGTAAGCAAATGTCTACTCACATATCTGAGCAACAATTCTATAGAACAGTGGCAGAAAATACAGCGTGGGGCAAAAGTACATGTACAGTTGCGAGTACATGAAATGCAGAGTGTATTCTTGCATTGTTATTTATGAATTACTGTATTATTTTCCATATGAACAACTGTAAACCTGCTTCTGCCCCAACCAGTACTGTACTCCTTGGACTTTTAGGTTCCTAACATATTCGAGTACCACGAAATAGTATTCCCCTTGTGTTGCACGAATGGGTTAGATTCAGGATGTCACAACAAGAAGATGATCTTTCAACATATGGGACACAGGGTTTTAGAGGGGACGGTCCCAATGACGCGTGCCATGGTCGGTTCAGAACAGTCTCTGGAAATTCTGTAACAGGAGAGATACCAGAAGGAGCAGGACAAGCTGAAAGAAGAGTGGGAAAAGGCCCAAAAGGAGGTGGAAGAAGAGGAACGGCGATACTATGAGGAGGTAGGGAATTCGCGAGGAGGAGTCCGGGCTTGTGGCCTGTTTCCTCAAAGGCTGTCAGTGCTTCTGTCTGCAGTGTGTGCACGTGGCTCTGTCTGATCTCTTCACCCACAGCAGAGCCATCACCCTCTTCGAAAGAGTCATATCCTGTAGGCGCTAAAAAACCACAGTTCCCCCAAAATTAGTTTGTGATAGGCTGTGCTGAGTCATGGTCAAGGGAGACAACATAGTTATAGCTGATCTCTAGCCAGAGTCAGATACTTGATTTATCTTCGATGATATGAAAGTACCAATTCCTTTATTAGCGTGTTTGTTAGAGCTAGCATGTTTGGTGGTGAATTAATTTTATGAGGATGATTTTGATATCAAATGATTCGTTACCCCTGCAGTCACTCTATGGTACTAAAGAGATTTAGTAAAGAGGTTTAGTACGATAGAGTGAGTGCAGTGCTAAGGAATGGTGGGGAGGAATATTTGGTTTTGTAGGTTTCTTTCTTTTTTTTTTTACATGAATAAACCAGACCACATTAGAGAATTTGAAGGGAGCTACATTTTATGTATATTATCTAAAATTTGTTTATGATTAATATTATTGTGAATTTTATCTTCAATAATAATTTTTGTGCATAATCCAATCCCTACAGCATTTCTAATAAGGCTTCTTGAATCTCACTAACTAATTAATTTGTGAAGACTGTTTTTTGATTAAATCAAATGCTAATTTCTACATCATTGCCCATAGAGTATTATCTGATTTACGTGGTTTTAGAAAATAAGACCTTTTTTAATGCCCTGCTTGTTTGCATATAATCCTGATGTCTTTTTTCTAAAGTTTCTTAATGAATTTTTTCTCTTAACAGATAAGATATTTGATTTTTTTCTCTTTCATTAACTCCCATCCTTCTTCTTAGGAGCGCAAAATAATTGAAGACACTGTGGTTCCATTTACTATTTCTTCAAGTTCTGCAGATCAGCTCTCTACAGCTTCCTCTGTGACTGAAGGCAGTGGAACAGTGGTGAGACCATAGATTAAAAGCAATTTGTGAAATAAATAAACCTAAACAGAAGTGCAAAACCACAAATTCATATCCAGGACTGGCTGTTTCCCTAGAATCATATCAGCTACTACATGGCCATTGTAGCCCATGGTATTGTCACTGCCATGGCCAAATCTTAGAGTCATTGCCTGAGGAGCAGAATAGTCATTACTGAGGCCAGATCTGCCCCCATAGGCTGGCAACCAAAGTCTCTCTGCACTGGCTGGCAAGGTCCTGATTCATGGGCCATGTGCTAGAAATACTTCTTACTGCCCATTATTCATTCATTCGACAGGCATGTATTCCTCTCTGCCGTAACACACGTCCCTTTGCACCGATGGTAGCAGCAGGATGCCAACAGTAGGCTTTTCTTCAGCATCCATTAAAGTTGCTTTTCACCCACTCTTTTTTTTTTTTTTTTTTTTTAATATACTTTTATTGACTTCAGAGAGAGGAAGGGAGAGGGGGAGAGAGAGATAGAANCTGCATGCCCACCGCTGGGTATCAAGCCCAGAACCCGGGCATGTGCCCTGACTGGGAATCGAACCAAGAGCTCCTGGATCCTAGGCCGATGCTCAACCGCTGAGCCACGCCTGGCCAGGCATTCTCACCCACTCTTAAAATTCCACGTGAAATTTACATGTGGCTTCCAGGGCTGGAAAGAACCCAGAAAGGCTGGTCTACCTCCATTTCCTCAAATAAGNCCACTGGGTATCAAGCCCAGAACCCGGGCATGTGCCCTGACTGGGAATCGAACCAAGAGCTCCTGGATCCTAGGCCGATGCTCAACCGCTGAGCCACGCCTGGCCAGGCATTCTCACCCACTCTTAAAATTCCACGTGAAATTTACATGTGGCTTCCAGGGCTGGAAAGAACCCAGAAAGGCTGGTCTACCTCCATTTCCTCAAATAAGGACCTGGAGGTAGTAGACAGAAGTCATACCAAGCCCTGAAGAGTTGATAATCTGCATTAAAGAAAATAACTGGTGAGCCCTAAAAAGCCATTTGTCCTGATTTGAGCAGTCCTATGACTGTTTAATTTTGAAAGGTGGGTTTTCTAACCTATTCCCCTCTATGATTGCTTTTGAGAGAGATCCAGATTTCACATTTATTTTAAAGCATTAGAACTAATTACTATATTCAGTTCATTTGGACAACTGTTCTTTAAATGGTAGGTAATGTGATTGGGGGGAGGGGGGAAACAAACCTTCAAATATCCCATAGCCAGAGATGAATGTTGTCCAGTGGGTTTAAAAATTGTATTTAAGATTATCCTTGTTTCCCCATTAGAATAAGATGGACCTGGAAAACTGTCATGAAGAAGAACAGGAGACAAGGCCCAAGAAGCCATTCCAGGGGGACAACAGTGACTTGTTGCTTAAGACCAGGGAAGGTGGTGCACTGGAGGAAAAGGGCAGGTAGGAGCTGCACCAAACCATCCGCCTAAATGCGCAAAACCGGGCTCCGCCTGTTCGCTCCCAGGAGGAGTGCTCATTGCTGATGCAGATCATATCTGGCTTTGCCGCGATCATTCCAGCAGTACATTGCGTATTGCTCGAACACAGCCTGATAACTCTGAAGTCAGGATCCCTATGCTACTGAACATAAATAGCCTGATTTTTAAATCGGAGAAACCTTTTTTTAATAAGGGGAGATGGTCTAGATCAGAAAAGGAGCACGTGGTCAGTTCAGAGCCCCAGACTTAAACATCACTCACCTGAAATAGTGTGTCTGGAGGGGTGGAGGTTGAGATGGTGCGCTGAGATCCTGCCCATGTGGTTTTACCGTGGACCTGAACTCTGCAGTTAGTATCCTCTGAGCCGGGAGAAGCCACCTGCGCTCTGTGTGATAATAGAAGGAATAACCAGCGAGTCTGTTGGTGGTGGGTGATCACCCCACCCGTGGGCTCCAGTCGGTTATGGTCTGTTCCGTGGGAGCAGAATCCAATTACAGCTACGGGCTATGGAGGAGGCTTTATTGCCGCCACCCCACACCTAATCTAATGGGACCCACAGAAAGCCAGGCGGCTCTGCCACCTGCAAGTTCTTTATGAGACAGATGTTTGCCTCTGGGCTCTGAGCTACCAGTAGATATTGATAAGTGTGTGTGCTGGATGGACCAGGTTGCACATACACATACACACACCATCCTCGGGAGGGATCCGAAGGCATGAAAGGCCATCTAAGTGTTACTTTCAAAGACTGGTCAATGTGAAAGGTTGGCTGAGAGCTGAGCTCTTCCAGTGGGATCTGCTCTGAGAATCCTCCTGTGCTCATTACCTACAAGTCTGGGTGAATTGTAGGGTATAGGGGCTTGGGGCCCATGTCCAGAATCTGCAGAGCCCTTCGAATAGCACATCTGTTTCTAGTTAACACTGTTTAAAGGGACTTTCCAGTTTTATGAAATGAAAATTCCCATCAGGAATTTCTGAACACCACACTGAGAAGCATTTTATGTGAATTTTTGCTAGTTTGCCAGACAGTCCCTATTGTCGCCAGAAACTGTTTAAAATTTCTTCCATCTCTCCTTTCTTTGCACACAGAAGCAACTAAAAGGCTGGTAGATTACCATGGGCTGCCAAAGTCCCATGTGGCCCAAATGATTTCTACAAGAAATCCTCTTGTGAAACTCTGGGAGAGTCCAGCAGTTAGCTCTGGCATCCCTTGAAGTTATTAGAATGAATTGTTTTGTGGACAGGGAGGTGGGAAGGACATCAGAAATGATGGTTTCTCAAGCTTGTTAAGTTAACGGATATTAAAGATGAGTAGCAGTCAGTTCAGAGTATTTAAACCTAGTTTAAAATGAAAAGAATAAATAAGCGTTTAGTTAGCCCCATTTATTTTTTCATGTTGAAATTGGCTCTTCCATACCCTAAGGGATAAGCCCAATAATTTTAGTTCAGTTGCTTTTATCTGTTTTCTGAAATATATTTATTTACTTATTGTAACAGCCTTACCCAAGGGGCCTTGACTGATTCTGAGAACCTCGTATCCAAAGGAACCCATCAGGATGATCAGCTGGATACAGAAGCTGGGGCCCCACGCTGTGGGGTGAACCCACAGCTCGCTCAGGGTAAGGATGGAGAAGACCAACCCGATGTTTAAATTATTGTACGACATCCCCCCTTGTCATCCAGACGGATATGATTTCTATTGGGTGCAGGCTTCTCTTCTAGCTTATGCTAAATAGCACCATGAACAAACTCCCACCACCAAGTGCCCAGACTCTCCACGCAATCACCTTGAGACCTCAGCAGGCATTAGCACTTTAAAGAAANCAAGACCAACCCGATGTTTAAATTATTGTACGACATCCCCCCCCTTGTCATCCAGACAGATATGATTTCTATTGGCTGCAGGCTTCTCTTCTAGCTTATGCTAAATAGCACCGTGAACAAACTCCCACCGCCAAGTGCCCAGACCCTCCACGCAATCACCTTGAGACCTCAGCAGGCATTAGCACTTTAAAGAAAGGTGACTTTCTAAGCAAAGGTCACGTTACTGAGCACTAAATGCATGTTCTTGATTTGGCCTCAGATCCACCCCGGAGTCAGCAGGTGTCAAACCCGCCAGTGAACACTGTAGAAGATGTGAAGCCAAAGACCCTCCCCTTGGATCAAAGCATTAACCATCAGATCGAGTCCCCGAGTGAAAGGCGGAAGTGAGTACCCAAAGAAGATGGGTGTGGAATTCCTTTTTCTTTAATGTATTGACTAAGAAGGGGGGAAATGAAAGAGTGTGAGATGGCAAGATGGTAGCAACATTTTTGTGCTTTCTCCCCACTGAATCTCATTGACAAGGTAACAAATATTTATGGAAACTGAGGACAGTCTTCCAGGCAATTATACACTGAACTTATCAATTTGAAAGAGGCAGAGTAATGTTTTCAACCTACAAATCTAAATATTGAAGAGAATTTGCAGGCACATTGTATTAACATTTATTTAAGTGAGTTAAATTGTCTCAATCTACTGACAAACATTCTTTCAAGGAAAAAAATGTTTTTCTCTCATTGTTCTCTTCCTCTAAGTAGCTGCCCCAGGCTATAGTCTAATTTTGTAAGATTTGTTTTTTGTTTTCTTACAATAATAGTAGCTTCTAACATTTTTTAAACATTTCAATATAATAGGCACTGTGTTGAAGAATTTATATATCTCTTCTCTTCTTTTCATAAATTAACTCACTAAACTCTCCCAGTAACTTCAGTTGGGTTATTGTTCCCATTTTTCAGATGAGGCTATTGAGGCTGAGGGAAATTAAATAACTTATTCAAAGTACCTGACTGATGAAGTGATGGAGGAATTCAAACTGAACCCACAGTCCGATGATGATAAGGTCATATGTGAACCAGAGGTTCCTTGAAATCAGTTTTAAAAATATAACATTCATTAAAGTTTAACGAGTCACTCTACCTGGAGCCAGGCCACCTGGATTCAAATTTTGACTCCTTGCCTACATCACGCTTTGGGCAAGCTGATTAATCTTTCTCTGCTTCATCTTCCTCATGTGTAAAATGGAAATAATGACTATACCTACCTATGAGGTTTTGTACCTGGCGAGTAATAAGTACTGTGTAGTGTAGGTGGTGGTAGTGACAATGATGATGGTGATGACTGTATGACGGCAACTTGTTTTAGAAGTTCATCTTTTTGCCTTATTTTTCTNGGTAGTGACAATGATGATGGTGATGATTGTATGACGGCAACTTGTTTTAGAAGTTCATCTTTTTGCCTTATTTTTCTGTTACATTTTTTAAAATACAGGCTTGAACCATTTCCCCCTTTTCCCTTCCATCTACCCAGCCTCGTTTCTGTGTGTCTAGATGATGCTCAGAATCAATAGAAGCTAAAATGACTTTGAAGTAATCATTATTGTTATTGATTATTGCAGTGATTTTCAATCTTTTTTTAGGCAGTGGTACTTCTACTCTAGGGTATGACATGAAAATGTGACATTTTGGAGAAAAGCTCTGTCTGAGGAGGAGGTTTGGGTGGGCAGGTGGCTCAGGGAGTTATCCCGAAAGCAGTTAGAAGACAGACGGTGCCCTGTTCACCTCTGTGTTGGCACTTCTCTTACTCTCATTTTTTTCTGTGGTCTACTCTTTTCTTTGCAAATGAAATTAGCTTTTATAAGCAAGAGCCCTTTATCTCTGGGCTCCCTATGTCTCTGCTCACCTCCCCCTCCATGCAGTCTGTATTTTTATAGCTAACTCAGAGTGCAGTTGTAACTAAGCAAAGAGTCTGGTGAAAATAAAGATGAGACGACTTTCCGTTCAGGGTGCCGGCCTGGCCCGAGAGCTTGCAGCCGCTGCGTGTGTAATCTCTGCTGGACGGACTTACTATTTTTGTCCTTTATAAAAAATTGCTGTGAGGACACTTTGTGGTCTTTTACTTGGTTATCAAGGAAGTTTTTATTTTCTCATCAAACATGTCTTTTCTTATAGGACTGGGCTTCTCTTTCCTCTTCATAACTTTTGGCTCCTTTACCATGTTACAGGAAAAGCCCTCGAGAGAACTTCCAGGCGGGACACTTGTCCCCCTGCCCTCCCACCCCTCCTGGCCAGTCGCCAAACAGGTACAAGAGGTCAGCAAGCCTTTCCAAGGTGGCTTTGTTTTGACTGGAGCCTGCCAAGCATAATTTTAACCGAATTAATGCTTGCCAAAAGATTGTGAGAAGTTTGTCCATCGAATCTCCTTCAACACACACACAGGCAGGAGGAAAGGACGCATTCATTCCCCTTCCGTCCGCAGCCCGAGAGAGAAAGAGCCAAGTGCGTGGCTTTGGCACGGCTGTGGCCCTAGGCCTTTAATTATATTCCGTGGAAACTGCAATCTAATAATAAAATCCACCAGACAGTGGCCGGGCTCCTCAGTCGGCGCCTTTCCCTGCAAGACGGCTCGGTGCTTCTAGGCTCGTGGCTCTCCCAGAGAACCCCACGGGGGCCGAGCAATGAACCTGCACCCCCTTTCCCCCTGCTCCAGCTCTCTAAGGATCGCCGCTGGCCGCCGATTGGGCCCCATGGTATTCTTAAAAGCTGCGAGTTCCCTGCCCCGGGGAGGCCAGTTACTGAGCTCTCCAAGGTGTCTTTGCCTTAGACGTTTCGTTTAACTACTGGGTCAGGGGGAACCCTAATGAATAGGGTTTGCTTAGGGCAACTCTTCCCCTTGTCCTTTGTCTTCCTTTCTGTTTCCGCTGTCCCTCTGTACCCCGCTGGCTTCTGAATGCCATCGCGGATTTTCAGACTTCCTGTGTAATTCCGAGAGCTTTCCAGATGGTGGGCGTCATTGCAGTCTGACCTTAGCTGTGGCAAAGCTGCCTTAGAGGGCAGCCGTCAGTCCCTCACCCGGTGCTGGTCTGCTGGGTTTGGTGGTCGTCACTGGTGGGCACTGTGCCGGGGGCTGCAGGGGTACAGAGATGGGGTCCATGCAGCCCATGCCCGCAAGGGGCTAACAACTCCCAGAGGATGCCGAGTGCCCAGGTTATAGAATCACAGAGAGGCGGTAGGGATAATCTAGTCCACCCCTCTCATTTTGAAGGTGAAAGGGAAACCCGAAGTGAGTTCTTTACACCAGACCACAGAACTTGGTGACAAAGCAGGGATCCGATCCCATATCTGCCTGGGACCTGTTGGGCTGTATCGCGATTACCTCTCCATTTTTAAACAAAAAAGTTTTTTTTCTTAATAGGTTAAAGAAATGCCCTCGTGAGCCAAGGAATCAATTATAGAACATTTTAAAGCAACAGTGAAACCTTAGTAAAGCTAAACTTGGTGATCTTTTAGGATTTATATAAACATGTGATAAATACATGGAATTACTTCAAGGCATTTGATCACTGTGGTAGAATAAACTACAACACAGACTTCTCGTAACGAATAACCAAGACACACACACGCCAGATTCTCTGCCACAATGGAGGCCCATTGTATTTAGTCTAGCACGTGTTTGCCAGTTATATCTAATGCTTCATTTCTGCTCCTTATCAGTTCAGTAATTGTCATTTTGCTCATGATATAAACATTTTTAATATCCACGTTTTTTCTTTTTTGCATGAGGCTACATATTTGTGTATTTAACCAACTATTCTGAGTGGAACGTTTTATTATTTCATATGGTTTTAAACCCTAGGTCTATAAGTGGGAAGAAATTGTGCTCTTCCTGTGGGCTGCCTTTAGGGAAAGGAGCTGCGATGATCATTGAGACCCTCAATCTCTATTTTCACATCCAGTGCTTCAGGGTATGTATGGGTCACTCTTCTCTCTAAGTGCAGTGTCATGGTGTCTTTGGGCATCGTGCTGGGCTAAGAAATACCTCCTGGAAACCCCGACGGCCTTTGCCTGTGAGGCGCCCCTTCTGTGTGTACAGAAGCGTGTGCGGGTTCCAGCCTTCAGGATGAAGCCCTCTGCTATCCTGCATCCCTCTGGGGTGTCTGCTTAGAAGCAGCAAAACAGGTTTGTGCAGTGTGTCTTTATAAAACAGGTTTTGTCTACTCTGGCAGGAAGCTGAGAATGCTACCCCTGGAGGCCAGTGATGCGTCTGAATCTTTTAGGGCATGTGGATTTATTGGGAATGTAATATCTTTGCTGCTTCTCAAACTCTTGTGACTTAATGTTGAAGAGTTTCTGTCAGTTAAGTGTGGTTATAGCTAGTTGGAAAGTTTTAGGTCTCTGAATGAATATGTCTGTGGTCACAAAATTGAATATCACGTCCTCTGAGAAGCTACCTTGCGCGCCCAGACTAAGTCACTTGCCTTTGTTACAGGGCCTTATAGAACCTTCCATGGTCCTTACCACTGACCGTTGAATTGTTTAATTATCATCTATCAACTCCATAAGGGCAGACACCATGTCTATCTGGCTCATCACTATTTCTTCTACACCTACCAGAGATAGTGTCTGTAAACATTTTTAGATGAATCAGTTAATGAATTAACTGAAAACGAGGAGCCCTAGATTCTAGTCCCAGACTTCCTGCTAATAAGTAGGTGAGCTAACCAGTTATGACTGATTTATTGTAAAATTTATAAGTTGGCCTCTTCCAGCATTTTCCATCTTTTTTTTTTCCTCACTTTTTTAATATAATTTTTAAAACTAAACCCTCCAGCTCTGAATAAGAATCATTTCTTTCTCTTTATAACCTTGACATGCTTCCTTTTTCCTTCTTGAATTTTGCTCTATTTCTTGTTGGTAGTTTCCTCAGCTGTAAAGTACACTTGCATGGGGTTAAAATAACTCCCACTTTACCTATAAGCTAAGGGAAAGTAAGTGAAGTTATCCCCAAATTATTAATTTAATAGCATCAGTAATTGCTGGGAAGCAAAACTTACCTTGGACAAAACACAATATGGAGACTTAACGAGACTCAATTTATCAATATTCTCATTGGAAAATTAACCACAATAATGCATGTCTTAAATAGTTCAGGAGTGTTTTGAGGCTCAAGGAAAGTATTTTTAAAATTTTGTGGTGAGCCCAGCCGGTGTTGCCCAGTGGTTGAGCGTGAACCCATGAACCAGGACGTCGCACATGCCCAGGTTTTGGGCTCGATCCCCAGCAGGGGGCGTGCAGGAGGCAGCCGAGCAATGACTCTCTCATCACTGATGTTTCTGTCTCTCTCTCTCCTTCACTCCCTTCCTCTCTCTGAAATCAATAAAAACACATTAAGTAAATAAAAATAAAAATTCATGGTGATGCCATGAAATGGTGTTCCAACACCATAGTTCGTTCTCCAGATTTTTACTAAAACTCAAAATAATCGAGGTGGCAAAGTGCCTTTGCAGATTCTCAAGGGACAGGAGACTCTCTTTCTAAGCTGGCAAGGCCTTTATTCTCTGTTACCATTCACTTCCCAGACTGACCTGATGCTCTAAGATACATCGCCTCTTAGGTTGATCGACTTGTAGATGCGACTTGTAACGTAATTGGGATGAGGCCTCCCTCTGTCCCTGGCCACCTTCAAGCATGAGCATGAGCCTGGCCCTTTATTCCTGAGCTGAGTCCTGATCTGGAGGGAGGCTGGCCTCAGAACCAACTCCTACTGCAACTTCTGTGGCACACCCAGCGCAGCCCACAACCTCCGCCTGCACTCAAGCTGACTTGGCTGAAAGGAGATCCATGCTCCTTGGATTTGTTACTCTGAGTTTCCCTGCCTTTAATGTGAAAAAATAAGGTGAATAGCTGTTTCCTAGTAATTCCCATCTGGCAGAACTTACCAATAATACTGGAAAGCATTTAGTGATTTTTTTTTTAATCTTCACCCAATGATATATTTATTGATTTTAGAGAGAGGAAAGGAATGAGAGAGAGGCAGAGAGAGAGAAAAAAAAACATCAATCTGAGAGAGAAACATCTCACGCGCCCCAACTGGGGACCAAACGCACAACCTAGGTATGTGCCCTGACGGGGAATCAAACCTGCTCCAACCAACTGAGCCACACCGGCCAGGGCAGCATTCAATGATTATTCACAAACAAGTTTTAATTGATCATCTGTTGGCTGTGTGTTTATTTAAAACCAGTAGCATTTAATCTGTTTAAAATTGTTCTTAGGTCAAATGTATGGTGATGGAAGGAGATTTAACTTTGGGTGGTAAACACACAATGCAATATATAGAAGATGTAGTATAGAATTGTACACTTGAAATCTGTACGATTTTATTAACCCATGTCACCCCAGTAGATTTAGTTAAAAATAAAAGGTTTCTTCCGTCTTGATTGAGAAATGACCTGTGATAGAGAGTAACAGCATAGGCTTTGGGATTAACCCAACACCACTTACCAGTTTTACAACCTTGGACAAGTCAGCTAATCTCTCTGAACCATTGTCCTTCTCTGTAAAATGCAAGGAGTTACTATAAAATGCTAAAAGTATATTGTTGCTGCAGGTCAGTTCTTAGTGCAGCATCTAACACATAGCAGATGCTCAGCAAATGTGGAAACTGTGTGATTATTCTGCTATTCGTGTAAACAGTAACTAAGCATCATAAAGAAATTCCTCCTGCACCTTATAACTTCTGTTCTTTCTGCCCTGTTGTAGTGTGGAATTTGTAAAGGACAACTCGGAGATGCAGTGAGTGGGACGGATGTTAGGATTCGAAACGGTCTTCTGAACTGTAACGATTGCTACATGCGGTCCCGGAGTAAGTATTGGGGTGGAATACCTTGAGATGAGTGAGTGAAAGCGTGTGCCTTTCCTAGTGCCCATTTGAGGAATTCAATTCTTTCTACCCATCATTTGACACTCCTACCCTGACGGAAAGATTTATTAGCGTCTAGGGAAAGGAAGCGATAATGAAATAACCCCTATTTACCACTTGTTTCTTATTGGAAGTTCCTGCTTGGGTGTGGCCAAATTTTTTCCATCCCAAAGTGCATTAATACACCAGCAGATAAAAACTGTGGGCCAAGCCTGAGACTTTGCCTGAGCTCACCATAGAGACTTTAGTGAGACAGAAGGCAGATGTGAGGCCTGTAAAGCACTACTCACTTGCTGAGGTGTACCGTTAGAAGACCAGCATCGTTTGGGGAGGTGGCTGAAGTCTGAAGAATGACCTTCCCTTGGTCATCAAATCCAGCACCAGCTCCTGGGTATCTTCATGCCCTACCTTCAGGAGCTTCATCACATAATATGTTGTTGCTCCCAACTAAACTGAAAGTTCCTCGAGAGACCAAATGATGGATTCTGCTGCTTTTTATGGTTCTGCTTCTTTGTGAGTCCCTGCACCCGTCCAGAATACCTTAGTACATAATCCCAGTTTAACAAGTATGTGCTGCCTTGAAGCTCCCTTGAGCAGCCTGCCCTCGGATTTTGTGTCTGGGTTTCCTACCAGAGCAGATTCATGTTGGTTTGGGGGACACCAGGGGGTGCTGTTGCCCAGCTGCTGATTAGAAAATCTGAAAATAGCCAGTGGCTAAGCCTCCGAATCCAGCCTCACTCTCCATCATAAATAAAGCCCTTCTGGGGCATGGCCTAGACAAGAGACTCTTCTGTGCAAATTCTCCAGTCAGAAACTCTTTCTTTAAAAGAAGGGGGGAGGGGAATAAAGACTTTAAGAGTAAAAAAATGAAATAAGCTCTTTTATAGCTATAGATTTAGTATATTCTGAGAAACATATACATTTTTAATAAAATTATGTGAAATGAAAATTTAATCAAACCCAGGTGATTTTGATCTATGATAAACATTTGACTTGACATCAGAATAGTTCCACCTTAGAGCTGGTACCATCAAACTAGACTATTAATATTATGTATTATATTTTTATATTATATATATTTATATATTGTATTTTATATCAGGTATTATATATAATATACATGTGTTACATATGTGTATTATATGTTATATATTTATACCATGTGTATAATATATACACATGGTATGAACATATAATATTGATATTGATTTTTGTACTATGTGTTAAATATATAAAATATGGTCTAAATAGTATACCATATATATGCCATGCATACACAAATGCCTGTATACATGAATAATATATAATAATTATGTTTATAACTGAATTTTTTGTCTTTATACATTAGAAATGAAAGGGAAACCCTTTTCCCCCTGGTTTTCAAAGTGATTTTTTTCTATCATCTTCTATAAATTATACTTTGCTCAGGCCAGCTGAGTGTGAAACATGAAACCAGAAGAGGGCACTGTTAGGTTGCAGGACTGTTGGGCTAGATTTGAAAAGCACTGTAAATCTGAATTTTTTTCATAATTTAAAGTGCTTGAAGGATGCCAGCAGAGAACAAACATGAACCCACCTCTGGGTGACAGTAACCTCTTTTCATCCAGATTTTAATTTTAATTGAGAAGTTGGATGATTCATTGTCATTTCTTTTAGAAATTCGTTTTTCAGATCTTGGCCAGTATTTTTTTCCCCTATGTATGCTACCATAGGGGCATTAACTGCTTTTAATTCCAAATCTAAAGACAAGAACTGTGGAGTTTCAGTAACAGTCTCATAAAATGAAAAATAAGAAAGTGATTTGGAGGTAGACTAAAGACAGGATTTTTATTTCTTTATTTTATATTTTAATGCAATATTTTACTAGGATTTTTTTGGTAGAATACTAAGATATTAAGAAGAAAGCAAAAAGTCTTACTCTCTGCTGAGATAACCTCGATAGGCATTCAAAAGACTAAATAAGTAAAAGTTATAAGTTGTATAAAGTTAGAAAAAATGCATGTTCAGAAAGCAGAAAGATACCAAATTAAAAGTAAAAAAAAAAATCCCAATGTTAATCACTGTAATCACTTCCTAATAATTACTTGGGGAGAGGGGCAGAATGTATGTTTGTGTAGATTTGTACACACACACACACACACACACACACACACACACACACCCGGGTGCATATGTGGTGTTTTTGTTTCACAAAGGCAATCACAGAGTCAGTGTCCTGTACTTAGTTTCCACTGCTGTTCTTTTAACTTAATGATGTATCTTGGCAATTTCTCCATCTAACATGTTCTTCCTCAGCATCCTCTTAAATGTTTTTTAATAGCTGCATATAATCCCATTGTATGGAGTTACCAGAATTTAAAACTAAATCTCCATGAATGGGCACCCAGGCGTTTCCAGTTTTCTAGTATTAAAGTTTCAGTGCTGCGGCGAGCGCCCCGCACGCCGTCCCGGTGACACTGGGAAGCCCTCCTCGGGTGGCCTGAGCAGCGGGCCGGAGCCCAGAGCCCGCGGGCGCCTCCTCCCCGCAGGCAGCGGGCCTGCCGCTCCTCCAGAGGCGCCCCCCTGCCCAGTGCAGCAGCGGCTTCCCCTCCACGCCCTGGCCAGCTCTGGATGTCATCAAACTTTTTAAATTCCCGCTCTGCTGGCTGCTTTGATCTGAATGTCTTTAATTATAAGTGAGCTCGAACATCTTTTCATATGTTTATTCACCATTTATATTTCTTTTTCTATTAAAAAAAATGTACTTCTCTGTCCTGTGCCCATTGTTCTATCGGTACTTGATTTATATGAGCTTTTGTAAATTAAAGAAATTTTTCTTTTTTCCTTTTATTTTATATTTGCTGTTTGTTGCAGTTATCATTTGTCTCTCTACTTTGTGATATTTTTTTTTTCATAGAAAAGATTTTCATTTACGTAATTAAACATCTTTTTTTTTTTTTGATTCTGTGTTTTGCATCCTACTTAGAAAAACTCCCACTACTCCAAGGCCATAAATTTAGCTGAGGTTTATCCTAGAACTGCTTTTTGTGTCTTTTTCACATGTAAGTTTGTGACATCAGGAATATATTTTGGGGTAAGAATGAGATAGATATCTAGCTTTTCCCCCCATTTAGCCAATTGGGTGAATATAACTTAATGAATAATCCCTTTTTTCCTCACTAATCTGAAATGCCAGCTTTCTCATAAACCAAGTGCACATATATATTTGAGTTTATTTCTGGATATTTCATGTTTAATTAACCTATTTACTCTCTAATGTCAAACAGTTTTAATTATTATATCTCCATAATATGTTTTTAAATTGAGTCATAATGGCCATCTTGACTTCAATTATTTTTTCCATATTTTCCTAACTCTTCTCTTTAGTTTTCCAGATAAATGTTAATATCATTTTAGGCTGAATTTTAAGTCAACACATGACAGGGAGAATGACCAGCACATCTGAGAATACTGCTCATTTTTTTCTTGGTGTCATAAGAAAAAAATGTAGGTTAGGAGTGAATAGGTGCAGGGAATAGTAATGAACGAGAGAAATAGAAATACACTTGAATTGGTTGAATATACCCCAGATGCAATAAGAGAGTCAGAATGGAAAGAAATAGCTAAAAATCATGTTTCTTTTTTCTTTATTTGATTTTGATCTGAGTTGAGAAGAGGGGAGATGGATAGATATGAGGGGTGGTTTACATCATAGGCATCCTAAGTGAAACAAAATAATTTCATTGTATGGAATAATAAAACCTGAATATATAATCCTATTTTCTTCAAGTAACTAGTCACATTTAAATGAAATTTTTCTCTTGGAGAGGGAAAATAGCATAACAGCATATTAAAATGCAATTCCTAAAAGCAATGTAAACAGTTTTTAAGTTGGTATGTAAATGGCAATGGAAGTGCAAAACAAATTACCTGTCACGACTCGAGCCGGCACACGTTTAACTTGCGCCATTTGTGCCTGGGTGTTGGGTGACTGTGTCTCTGTGTCTGTTCCATCATTCACTCGCATGAAATGTATTTACCGCCAAATCCCTGGGGTCTTTCCCAATGTTGCAGTTGTCTCATCACAACTCTGGTGCCTTGAATGAAGGAGAAAGTTTGTGAATGTTTCAGCAGGAAATATGGAACCCAAACCTTTCTTCCCAGATAGGGTCGCCAGATAAAAAACAAGATGCCCAGTTAAACAGTTTTTTTGCCCTGTTAAGTTTGAAATTTCAGATGAACAATGAATCTCTTTTGTATGCATATGTTTCAAGTATTGCATGTTCAGGATTTAGCACTACCATATCCCAAATATCATATGGGATATATATACTTATGCTAAAAATTGTATTTGTTGTTTCTCTGAAATTCAAATTTTACCGGGCATTCTGTATTTTTAATTCCTAATCTAGCATTCCTGTTTCTAGATCATATGTCAGACTCCTCCCGTTGCAATGTATTTATTCATAGAGAAACCAAAACCTAAAGAAACAGAGAGAAGAGAGAATATTTTCTTGCTTATTTGCCAAGAAGACAAGGTAGAGAACTTGATGGAGATCATCTGATATAGGGTGAAATCCAGAGGATTTGAACCAAATTTTAAAGGGCATATGAATATTGGGCTTCTTGTTAAGTTCTGGGAAGGGGCTCAAAAGTCTGCATTTCTACAAGCTCCAGGTAATACTAGCACAGCTCCTCCTGGGGCCACACTTGGAGTAGTGGGTGGGACAACGTTCCCTCCTTAGAGGGAAGAGACTTTGGCAGAGGTCATAGCTAATTTGGGAAATTTTTAAACATCTGAAGCAAGAGACATTGACTTCTTCAACCAAATGTCCCTCTGATTTCTTTATCACAGGTGCTGGCCAACCCACAACATTGTGACATGGTTTTCAACATCCCAGATCACTCACCATTCTCTCTTGAGATTGTCCCCTGGAATCGTTAAACAGAATCCCAAGTTCAGGGCTTCTCGGCATTCATCTAACGTCTGAAAGGCTATTCTAAAAGATGGTATCTGTTCTTTCCTAGCACAGTGTTTGTGTTTTTCCTGGGTTCTTTTTCTTTTTTGCATTTGCACAGTATATACAAAAGAATATTGAATTTTAATGATTCGGGCTAGTTCAAAAGAAGGTGTTAGCATGGTCAAACAGGCTTATAGTTTAAAATGTGTTATTCTCTTCTCTGGGGAGTTAATGAGATAAATGATTCAATAAACCTGTTTTGTTTTAGTATTTCTAGGAATTAAATACTTTGTGTTTACAAAATTGAGCTGCAGAAAGTGCAAGACATGCCAATTTGAGACGTGGTCTTTTGAGACAGGAGCTTACAATTAATGCATTTCAGAAACTAAAAACCACATCCTATAGCTCTAAGCTATAACTTGTTTTTAATGCAAAGACACTAGTCTGTTAATATATACTGTAATCCTGAAATATTTGTGTTACTTACCTTTTGAGGTAGAGGTCATACCAATAAATTATTGCACCGTTAGTGTTAGGTTTTGTGTGCTTTGAAGGTTATGTCATTGATAGAGTCTGATCCAGCAAATAAAGAGAACCCTGGCAATCTCAGCTACACTTACACTCTGGACATCGCCCAAGGGTAGGAAAAAAAACAGAGGAAAATATTTTAGTCATTTCCAACGTTATCACCAAAACATGAGGAAGTTTGAGCTTCAAAAGAGTGCTGGGCCCGTGTTAGCCATGAGAGCTCTGTTGCTTCTGCTGTTCAGACTCTACATTCAGTAAAGACTCGGTATAAGGCCTGAGGAAGCCCTCGTCGAGATCGGTCCTTCATTAGTGAGACCCCTGCTCACCTTGCCTGCAAGTTCTCCTCGAGGGCCTGAAGCACAGGTGTCTAAAGAACAGCACTGAGTTCATCCTAATAGAATCCAAATGACACTGATGTGATAAGCCACTGGTGTGTGATCGGCAAGGACTGCAGGTCCCACATGCAGTGCCCACCCTGACGGACGCCTGGTCTTCCCCATTCTCCTGCATCACCCACTCTTCTCTATCAAGGACTCTGGGCCTTGCTCATGGAGGCGTCAGAGAGAAACTTATGTGGACAGCTGGTTGTTTTTTGCCCTGTGTGGTGAGTCCCAGCTGGCCAAGAAAGGAATCGAATGACTGAAAAGCATCATGTTTTAAATCTCCAGGCTGTTTTCTTTAAGACTGGGGAAAGGGGAACTATTTATTCTGCCTTAAAACGATGGCAAATAAGTGAAGATGACCTTTTGTGAATGTAGACTATGGATATCCTCCTAATAGTTTAATGTAGTCGAAAAAGGAGCTCGAGTAGATGTTATTCTGTTATGTAAGCAATAATACTTACTGTGTCTTACTGAGTATGGCTAGCAATTATTTATTTACATGCTAGACGGTCCTCTGCATGCGGGTTCCATGTAAGTGCAGAAATTCCCTCGGCCACTGGAGGTGTTTTGACCATTTTGTCATTTGGATGAGCTGTTGTTAGACTGAAATTTACACATCACTTCATTAAAAATTGTGCCTTAGAAAATGCAAAGCTGTTGCACACAGTGATGAATTATGGATGCAGTACATTGAAGAGAGATGAAGTCACTTCCAAGTTCCCAAGACTTCTCATGGAGGTGTTTGCTGTTTTACAGGAAAAAAATAAGAAAAACAGAAAACATTAAAATGAAAAAGTTTTGAAAATGTACAGATTAAGTTCAATATTTTGATTAACCACCTGCATGTTTTATTAAATATTTTGATAATGTGATGTTTACACTTTGCATGATATTAGCAGAGTACTTTACCAGAAATAATGCACAAACACATGTAAAATACGATCATTCATAGCCAATTTTTATAGAATACTTTTTACATGTGGAACGCCATCCGTTATGTAGGGGTTCTATGAATATCGCACATTCTCTTCTGGTTTCACAAACCCATTTATACATATTTCTTAGTGAGACTCATTGTCCATGTACTGAAGCTAGAATCGAGTCAAGAAAAATAAAGCCCATTCTCCGGCTGCGAGATGTGCTTTCCCATAATGAACAATAGTCACCAGCACAGAATAATCTCCAACATTTTCTAAATTCTAATTGCCAACTGTTTCTATTTCTATTTGATTTATGTTTCATTTGGAGTCTGTTACATGGCAGCTCGGGCAGACTCGATCTTGTTTCTTCCAATGCAGCATAATGAGTGTGATCTATTTCTTTTCAAATAATCTTTGAGATCCCAGGAAAAAAAAAGAAAAAAAAGCTCTGCTCCGTTGAGCTGCGATGTACATGTGTTTTCTTAAAGATGATGCAAGTGAGTGATTTATTGCTCCCGAGGAAGTACATCTGATTTTTTTCTCATGCTCCGAAAGCTAGTCCCTTCTCTTTCTTGAGAAAAAATGGGTGACTGTTTTTCACTGCAGACTTTCATGGCATTTCCTCACTTTCTATGTAGTGGTATTAATGCAGTACGTATTCTAGTTATCTCTCCACAGTGTAAGACGTAACGAGCCCAAACGATCCACCTCACGTGCGAGTCCGTCCAAAAGATGTTCCTGGTCTGGGTGGGCCAATGTTCTATATCAGTTACACTAACCTTCATTTAAAATATTTATTCTAAAATGCCTCTGAGAAATAGTAAAAAAAAAATAAAAATAAAAAGTTGTCTAAAACGCAACAGCTTTTATAGTAAATGTACATTTATAAATAAAATACTCAAATCAATTTTGCATTCCATTGATTTTTTTTTTTGATTTTTTTTTGGAAGGGGGCAGGTCGGCTTTCTGACTTGGGAAAGGTAGAATCGGGCTCTTTCTTCTGTAGGTTTTGGTCCAGGTTTGCAGAGTTAGGTGATGGCAATGATGCGTATTTGCATATGCATATTACACATTTTTTAGGTCAACTCAGAATTACCAGCTGATTGCAGGAGTCACTAAAGAATTGCCTTCCACTGAGGGATTGAAACACCTTGAGATGAGATACACAATAACCAGGAGAGACCAGGCAAATGCCAGTGGAAATGGCCTGAAACAACCAAATGATGGTCACCTTCCCACACGGGCTAGAGGAAACCCGTCAAGCTCCTGGAAGGGGCCGTGTCCTACCCCTTCCCCCAGCACCGCCCCAGGGCTCCCTCTCACTGTGCACACAGTCTGTTTCGCTGAGAGTCTTTTTTTCTGTTATTGAACCAGGGAATAAATGTTGTGAAACACATCCTGTGACACTGTTGGCTTTCCAAAATACACATAGCCCCGGCCAGGTAGCTCAGTTGGTTAGAGCCTTGACCCGATATCCCAAAATTGTGGATTTGATCCCTGGTCAGGGCACATACAAGAAGCAACCAGTGAATGCATAACTAAGTGGAACAGCAAATCGATGTTCCTCTCTCTCTCTAAAAAAAAATCAATAAATAAAAACTTTTAAAAAGGGAAAAAATATACTCGTATCTTTACTGGCACTCTGTCCCAAATTTGTAGGTGGTGGTAATAGCAAGCAAGTTCCTTAGAAGTTTTTGTTGCTTTATGATACAGTATTCTAATTGCCACCAAGAGTTGTATTCTTTTTTTTTTTTTTTTTTTTTTTTTTTTTAAATTTT